AGATATAAATAAGAGACAAAGAGTGGCTAGGGGGCTGGGACTAGCAAAAATAAAAAGGGTAATTATTTCAGCATGTTGGGAAAGAATAAGAGCTCCATCCCACCTGAAGATCTACAGATGTACTAAATCTTGTATAGAAGTCTGAAATACAAATACATAAAAACATAGAGATACGCAAAAATAGTTAATACAGTGATGATTTATTTCATGCACATGACTGTCACATGATACAGAAGTATACATCAATAAATGCAGTGTATCTAAATGCACTTTTTATGAGCTAGAATAGTGTTAGCAAAAGTTGGGGGAAGTGGTCTCTGCTCCACAAAATATTCGGAACGAGCTGTCCTCGGTGTGCTGCAAGCAGTTCTATTAACCCTGAAATACTCCCTCATTCTGAAGCACCAAGCGCTGGAAATATCAGTGCATGTTTGCAAGCCTGAAGGACTCAGTGATTTTGCTTTGCAAGATAGGAATCAAATCATTTCTGTGAACCAAGTGATGTTTGTATAAGAAGGGAATTTTACTGTTCTTCCATTTTGTCTCATCCCGCTCTGAGTCTCTTCCTTCTCTCGCCCTCAAGAGATTCATATCATACTGGGAACAAGTTGCCAAGAGAAGCTGTGGACTCTCCATCCAAGACTTCGCTGGACAAGGTCCTGAGCAATCCAGCACTCCCTTTGAAACTGGCCCTGCTTTGAGAAGGGGGCTGGACCAGAGGACCCTCCCCACCTCGACACACCAAAGGTCCCTTCCAACTTCATTCTTTCTATGATTCTATGTATTTTTTAATTTGACACTACCAGTTTGAGAGTCATCAGTCTGAACGAGTATCGTTTTCACAAAATAGCTTTTCAGATGATTTTCTTGACATTTTGCAAGCATTTCACTTCTCTCCAGCTCTCTTTTGCCTTTAACAGCTTTCATTTCAGTCTGAATTGTCTTGACTTCGAGTAGTCTGTATTTTTGCCATAATGGTTTCTACCACTGATTAACTTTTTTGTTAATATTTTCAAACATGTGTGTACTGTAGACAGCAGACTCTGCATGCTCTGACATGAGCAGCTATCCTAGCTTGCCTTTTCTCCAGCCTAGCATTTCTATCCAAAATAATATTATCCTAGTAGGATTTTATTTAATAGTTTCTTGACAAATGTGACAGATGATAGACAGTTTTGATTTTTTAATGAAGTAAGGGAGAAATATGCTAGAATTCTGCTGATGTTACGAATTTGCAAGTATTTCCCGAGTATCCTTAGAACTCCATGCTAGGGTAAACAACTTTACAGCAATTGGTTATGGAATCTACATTTTGTGTGTGATATATTTTCTTACTATCCTTATGGCACCAACAATTATGAGATTTTTTTTTCTCTGTAATTCACAGTCAGTCTATGCCTGCATCTTTCCAAATTCAAGCACTATAAATTTGTTAGATATTTGCCATTGATCCTGCCCTAGCTTATGAACTTTAAAACCTGTCTTTAGCACGATTATAGCTTGAACGTATATGGTTTACCGTTTCAAAATCCATAGGCTTTGATATTCTTTCTTTTACTTTCTCATAAAGGAAGTGGTTTGAATATTGATTCTTTGCCTATACCCACAGTATTCATGAGTAGAGCTGTTCAAAATTTGTTCCAAAAGAAAAAGGATGAAAACATAGTTTTAGAGCAATAAAACCTAAGTTGATATTATTTGATTAATAGTCTTACCAGGAAATAAAGGGATTAGAAGTAGAAAAAACAGAATATCTCATTTCAGTTTTGACAAACAAATACATAAAGGCATTTTTAACAGAAAATAAGGATTGAGTACATTAGTAGACCCCAAAAATTTTATGCATATACATTTCTGAAAGGCCACTGAACAAAAAGATCTAATATTTGCACAACGTATTCATGTATGCTCAGTGTCACATCTTCCTTCCTATTTTACCCTTTCTTTCCTTCAACATGTTTGAAGTAAGATATCTTTTCTGGTGTATCTGTTTATGTGCCTTTCTGTATCAAAATAAGTCTATCTGACTGCTACAATCAAGTATCTGATGCTTTTCATGTTGCTATACACTGAGAATTTCATAACTAGGACTTTCAGCAGACACCGCTGCTTGAGACAAAAAGACTACCAAGAACATCAGATACCCTCATTTGTGTTATACAGACAAGGGTTATTTTCGAATTTTCAACAGCACATAGTCTTTTTGAAACTTATAATAAATACATTTTGAAACCAAATTTGATAGCTATGTTGTCCATGTGAGTTATAAGTCAAACCTAGCATACAAAAATGAAGACCATGTGAACACAGTTTTGCTCTACTGAAAGGCCCTAAAAGTAAATCCTCAAGGCTGACTATTTGGTAAAAAAATTTGTCCCAACATGTACCATTTTCCACCATTTTTCTAGCTTCTTCGTCTCTGAAGTGTTCAGTATTTCAGAACAAGGTAGTCAGTCATTAATTTAGATTCCATGGAATTTTGCATGCATTTGTGGACTGATCCAGGCAGCCCTTTGAGGGACTTTGTTGCCCAGCAAAGGTGCAGCAATGACTCATGCATCATTGACAGCTGACCAATTCAATAAACGTAGTGCTTATTCCATAGAAGAAAAATGTCCAAAATCACCTAAATTATCTTAACATCTCATTCAAATAGTCAACTGTTAGAAACTGACTGCTATAAAGTATAATCTAGAAATAAGGCAATCTTCTGCATTGTGAAGTTTGAGAGTCTTTGAGACAGTTTACTGAGTAGTCATATTATATTTTGATTAGCATCAATATGTTCAAAGGAATCTCCGACACCAAGTATTGAAGTGTTATCTGCAATTATCCTAGCAATGTCAAATACTTTGTAATGCTAGCATTCTCTTGATTCTGAAAAAAAATATAAAAAGGCTATAGCTATTTCTATAGCCAAAATGAGTCCTAATCATAAGGCAATTAAGACTTTCTTCTTCAATTTTTTCCTGCCAGATACATCTTTATCCTTAGATTTTTGTTTTCATATACCTGGTGAAAATCTATCCATTCACAAAATATAGTGTAAGAAGCTATACTTTTTGGATTGCTTTTTTTTTTTTCCTGGTTAGTCCATAGAGGAATAACATTCTTAACATTCTTGAGAAACCCATCATAGTCAAGCAAAAAGTATGAACTTCAGCCATAAAGTATCAAGTATGTAGAGTGAAGTGTTCTCATTCCTTGATCAGAACACTACATATAGAGCAAATATCTGATAACATGTGGAGGAAAAAAAAATGAGGAAATCCAGAGAATTATAATTAGCTTCCTAACATTGAGTTAGCAGAAAGAAAAGTTGAATGTTTATATTCCCTCATATTTAATAACTTTTTCTATGACTTTCAGCTCAATGAGTTAGTGCACCATCTGAGACTTATTACCTAAGAAGAATAAAATTCAAAAGATATCTGAGCTGCCTGATTCTTTTAGGTTTCCTGCACTTCTTTGAGTGATTTCCACCTGTCATGTAAGTCTGAATGCTCTCGCCCCTCCTTCAGGTCAGCACTGCCTTTTCAGAAGAGCTTTATTTTATACTATAGAAAATAGTCTCAACTTCATGTCAGAACTTCAGGGAAAAGCTTGCAAAAGGTTGTTAGGCAGAGCAGATATTCGAAATTACTCAGAAGAAGAATCTCAAGTGAAGGAAAGGTTCAATAGGAAAAGGGGAAGGAGACTATTAACATGGAAATGGAAAACATAGCAATTTTAAACAGCTAGTTAATCAGTAAAATCAAAAGGATTTTCTAGTATTCTTTAAAGAACCCCTGTTGTCCCTGTTTAGTTTAAATATGCCAGT